TGTGTGTGTGTGTGTGTGTGTGTGTGTGTGTGTGTGTGTGTGTGTGTGTGTGTGTGTGTGAGTGAGACCATATGAATATGTGATAGAGCTGAAAAACGAAAAGCAGCAAAAGACAAGCGTGACCCACCCAACTCCACTGACTGACAGAGGCATATTCTCTTCTCATTAAAAAGACTGCAGGTGTGAAACCGCCTGCATTAGGGCAGACAATGTAGCAGAGACCCAAGTCACAGTTTTATCCACTGTAAAAGTATCGGTGTTATTACCTCACTCAGCTGTAGAGAAGACATACCCACAATATAACTAGTAATACAGACTGTGTTTTACATGATCACAGATCCGTAGCTCACTCGCATCTCACTGGAATCATGGTTTTAAGTATAGACATTCGAGTGAGTAAGCCTGTGACTAGGATTTTGCACAACCTCTGAATTATCTTCTGAAACTGAATTGTACATTTTAACGTTTGATTGTGTTTTTGGAGTCTTCTCGCTGCTGAAAAACTTTACTTGAGTCAGCATTGCCAATCTTTCACCAGTCGTCTCCTCAAAACTCATTTCGACTCATTTTTTTCAGAAATGTTTTCAGACGCGACACAAAAATCTGCTTTCTATGTGCTGTCACACATTGTGCAATCTAGCAAATATTTAAACACACAAAGTAGTTTTCTATGTATTTTAATAAAACTAACACTCAATTTCTTGTCTGAAATCTTCTTTGTGTCTTACCCTCTTGTTGTTTCTGGAAATTAATCAACAGAGATTTAATAGTTCTGCTGACAAATAGCGTATCGCAGACATACTTTTGAAAAAAAAAAAAGCTATGAAACAAAACTAGCAGCGGCATTGGATAATTCTTTTAAACACTTTTTCTTAGTTCATTTGAAAAATCTTGTAAAACTACCAAAAAACTTTGACTCAAATGTTTGTAAAATTCTGTACAGCCCAAAACCTCTGAAAATTTTATGACAATCTGATTTTTAAAGGTTAGTAAATACGACGGAGTCGCCACTACAATATTTTTTTTAAATTACGAGATTAAAATCTGAATATTATGAGAATAAAGTCATAATATTACGAGATTAAAGTCGTAAAATTATGAGATAACATTTATAAAATAGTCCGCAATGACTTTTGGGTTACAGTTAGTGTAATATGCTTTCATCCAAATTATCTGATGACAAAATCTGACAATGCAGCTATTAATTGCTTCAGTTTATAGTTGTTTGCACAAAGTCCTGCTACTGATGCTAATGTGCTAAAAGATTATTTCTTCTAACTGATACTAAAGAACAACTTCACAAGCTGCTCAACATTCCTTATTTTAATGCAACGGTAAGACTGCTTTTACATGTAAAGGTTATATTATGTCTTTAATATCTTAATATTATGACTTTATTATCATACTGTTATGACTTTTTTCTTGTAAATTACAATTTTATTCTCATTCAACTTTATTCTCATAATGTTATGACTTTAATATTATAATATGATGACTTTATTCTCGTAATAAAAAAAATCTCGTTGTGTGGCCCTAATACTCCATCGTAACTAAAAGATAAGTGGGTAAAAATTAATTTAAAAGGCTAAATTACAATATGATTATTCACCAAAGAAACCAAGAAATAATGAATATTTATAAAGCAGAAAGAGTATATCTCCAATGCATCAACTTGCATTTTTGTGTCAGTTTTCGATGTTTAAAGAACTTTTTTAAACAATGTTTCCTTTGCTGTTTTTTCTCTCATTGTCCTGCATGTTTTCCTTTGCAACTTTCAGGGACAGATACGCTGACACTGGAGGAGAGGATTCTGTACAATGTATTTTTAGACTAAACCGAAAGTGTATAGTAGGCACTCACGTATGTTTTACAAATGGTATTCAGTAAAAAAAAAAAACTTAGAATTTTACACTGAAAGATGTAAATAAACATTTGAGGGAAAAAAAACGAGATGCTTTTATCTACTTGTAACATTAGGATTTATTCAAACTCATCCCGATTTTGTAAATATAGCAAATGTATGTGAGGTAATTATTTACAGTGTCAATGTAACATAGAGACTAATAGCAAAACATATATTTTGAAGAATATAATATGATTATACAGCATGGGACATGTTTATTTTTATAAATGAAAGTATCTGTAATCTTCTCTCATAAGCCCACCAACAAATCGACATTGCAGTGAGCATTTTGTGTGGTTGTCATAGTTTTGTTGCTTTGCAGTAACTGCGTGGATTAGTCTGTGTTTCATTCACGCAATGAGCCTTCCATGACTTTTTTTGTGCCTTTATTCATTCCTGTCTGATTTCACTGTCGATGATCTTGTCCTCACTGTGGTCTTCTGTCTGTGTACAAAGCTAACTCATGTTTTAAGAGCAATAAAGTATATTATATAAACTCTCAGTGAATTTGGAAATGACATTGCATGCACTAAACTTGCTGGAATGCAAGAATGTCTGGTAGGACTACGTCACACAAAACACACTACGTGAGACAAAATATTAGCAGGAAACATTCTTTTCTTCCTTATAAGTGTTTTAATCAGTGCCTTGGGCAAAATTTGATGTTGCAATTTGATCTAATAAACCACAAGCTACTGGCAGTAAAGTTTACACATTTTGTTTTTTTCACTGCTTAAGATTTGAAAAACAAGTAGTAACAAATTTACAATACATTTTTGCCAAATTACAACATGAAACTTCTGATAGCACGTATGAAACTTGGCCAGAGAAAATTTGAGTTACATATTTATTGCTCACAACTGTGCATAACTGTGAAATTTTCTTAGCAATCAGAAAACCACATGTAAAAAGAAAGAACCATTTAAAGCATGCAGTCACATTTATGTGTGAGGGATAAATAAGTACAAAAAAAGGAAACTGGTTTAATTTCATTTTAAATGAAATCTTAAATATCTAACCTAGGAGTCAAATATTTCTAGTAAAAATGTCCAGTATTTTTGTTTTATTGCCATTCAGTAATCTTACATGATGGGAAATTTGAAATAATAATTGAGATAGTTTTAATATTTGGTGGAAAAGTTATAAACAATAAATATCTTGCCGGTTTGATAAGTAAACAGCTAGCGAAGCCAAGACCCAAAAGGACTGTTGTCATGATAAACTGCAGTCCCAGACATTTCACTGCTGTTTATGCCAGCAGCAAAGTGTCTCTTTTTGCATTTATTATGCTCCTTCATTGTGTTGAAGTATGCCAGTTCTGTGAGCTGCTTATAGTCACCTCACTTAAGCCAAACAGATTTTTTCAAAAACATATTCAGTTTTACTTAGTCAAAAAGAACAATAACTGCCATTTGTCCTGCAAACGTTTGGACATCTCAAATGTCATTCCTCCTAATTTATGTGTATTAGAATTGCATTCAATGTAAGCCCAGTAATCGAGTTCTCTTGTTGTTTCATTGTCTTGTCTCTTTAAGATAAGGTTTAAGTGGACAGCGGCAATAACAAAAAACAACTAAACATCATGAATGCTAGGGTTTTCAGAAAGCATTTTATAAGTTAGTTGTAACTAAATGTTTTTCTCATAAATATTTGCAATAATATCTAAATGTAATATAATATTTGCAATCAATTAAAAAACTTAACAAAATAAACAAATTTTAGCACATATGCATATTTGAAAAGGAAGACTGCATGCATACCAGACTCTACACACACTCAACTTACCTCACTGATGAGTAGGAATGRAGTCATTTAACACCATCCAGACAGCTATGTAGCTTACATTAGCTACCATTGCGTCTGCTGGTCCTGTGACCTTTTTTTCTTAGATAAAATTATGACAGGGTTTTATTTTTGGGGGGCAGTTGGAAGCGTTGTTAGTTGATGTGGTTTCATTATATGTTACAACAGCCTGCCATATTTTACGCTCATGTGACGCATCCAGGGAAGACTGACCTCATCACGGCGAAAACGTAAGTGAGAGCGTGCGCGCGGCCCTTCGGGAAGGATGTGCTGCACGCGATGGAGGATAGGTAGCTCGCTAAGGGAACAGCTCATCAACTGTTGATCGGTTTCCAGTTGTTGTCTCGGAGTCTCCGACCCCACAGTCGACCCGAAGTCGACAGCTTCCCCCGCTGCCGCCGCTCGCTCGGTCCGAACGACRCCCTGGACCGTGACAAAATGCCGAACATCAAGATATTCAGCGGCAGCTCTCATCCGGATCTGTCTCAGAAAATATCAGACCGCCTGGGTCTCGAACTGGGGAAGGTGGTTACGAAAAAATTTAGCAACCAAGAAACGTGGTAAGCATTGTTTAGTTGTTGTTTTTTCTTTACATGTGAAAATAAATGCGCGGGGTAGTAAAATATCTAGCGAAGCTAACGGGTGTCGCGGTAAATTTGCCGCGAGAACTTGGACACGCGCGTTTTATAGTAACTTATGCTAACTACCGAAGGTGTCCTGTCCTCTAATTCTAAACTAAACCAGCTAGCTTAGCTCTGAAGTTTCATTGTTGGCACAAAGAAACATCGTATTGGTTACTGTGAATATCTGAGTCTGCTTTCCTGTATCCTTCACTGATCAACCATATGCCATTGTTTACTCTGTCTCATCTATCATGCTCCTGTCGGGGTTTGTTAGCTCCGTGGCTCAAAGTGCTGTTTGTTTTGCCACTTTTTGTTTCTTGTAGCGTGGAGATTGGGGAGAGCGTGCGTGGGGAAGACGTCTACATCGTGCAGAGCGGCTGTGGGGAGATCAATGACAATCTGATGGAGCTGTTGATCATGATCAACGCCTGCAAGATTGCCTCTGCCTCCAGGGTCACGGCCGTCATCCCCTGCTTCCCTTATGCCCGGCAGGACAAGAAGGACAAGGTGGGGGTGAGGGACATCTGTCTACTTAACTTTTGTCATGTCATTTGTCCCCCAGCATCATGACAAACAGCCTGCAGCCATGTTGGTTGAGGCATGTGTTTTCTTTTAGTTTGCATGTTGGTTTTAATCTCCYTGTTCTGCATCATCATACTCCTAAGCCATCGTTAGTGCATGTGCATCATCACAACTAGGAACTAAGCATGCACTGTATGCAAACAAGACAAGGTATCTAAATGTTCTCTTTCTACAGACTGTAGGGTTTGATTGAGATGATTAAACTCAGCCTCTCAGCTCTCAGTTTAGTGTTATTTTTAGAAAAGAGCCATGCCTGCCAGTTTGTTTTATTCCATGTGACTGAGGGGATCTGTTTTCGTTGCAGAGCCGCGCTCCCATCTCTGCCAAGCTGGTGGCCAACATGCTGTCTGTGTCAGGCGCAGATCATATTATCACCATGGATTTGCATGCCTCACAGATACAGGTGAGTTAATATGGTAACGTGGAAGCAGACAGGACCAGTTCGAGTTGCTTCATTTATTATTATTATTTTACAACTGATTGATTTTTAACCTAGTCCTTTTAATAGGATATTTGAACTGATTTCTGCATCTTGGCAACTTTTTATGCTTTGGTTTGGATGCAGTATTTTTAGGCATCAAAAGTTGGAAAATTAGTGTCTATGCCATCTGACACAATCCCCACTACTGTTTCCAAAGTTGAGTCTTTTGACTAGAATTGAAGGCATTTAAAACAGTTATAATCAGGGTTCCTATGGGTCCATGAAATCCTTGAAAGTTTGTGAATTTGAGAACATGATTTCAAGGCCCTGGAAAGTTTGTTAATACAGCCAAAAATTACACTTGTCCTTGAAAGTCCTTGAATGTTTTTTTGGGGGATTGAATTTCTCTATTCACACAACTGATTTTCATCATCTGTAAATGAATAAATAAAATAAAATTAACGTACGTTTGTTGGAGTGGATAATTCAGGATTATGTTAAACTGACGTGGCTTTGAACAAATAACACGAGCCATAATCACAGTTTCACCCAATCAGAGCAGAGGAGGGCGGGTTGTTCTTTCTGAGCCCAGGTGAGAGCACCACAGCTCCTCCTGTCCTCACTGAGCGTCTGGACGTGTTCACACACCCTCCTCCCAAACTGAGCTGCCAAACCTCCCAGGACATAATTACATCTCCATGTATTGTGGATATGAATGTAGGGTGTACATTTAATCCACTTTCTTTCATTGATTCCCAGTTTTTCATTGAACTTACATAATAAAACTGTTTATTGGTAACATTTTGTGGAAGCAGTAGGTAATTGCCGTCATGCGTGGTTCTTGAATTTAAGGACATTGGTACTGGAAAGTCCTTGAATTTGATGTTGACCAAGGTGTGGGAACCCTGTATAATATTTTCTACATAAGTAAACAGCCCTTGTTTTCATTGTACTTCAACCTGCCAGGTGAAGATTGCACCTATTTGCTTTCTCTAACTTTGTCACATACACAAAGTTGGGGGGGGGGGGTTTGAGCCAAGCACCACTATAGCAG